ATTAATGGTATTATCTCATGTCTACAAAACATAGAAACAGTTTTGAGGGAGAAGGCTTGACACCAGATCTCCTACATTACAAGATGGTAATGTACATCCAGCTACAGAGTTAAAACTCATCTTCTTCTCTTTAGTTCATTCTCAGAAAATCTTCAATTGTCTTCTTCAGAATATTTGAGCTTTAATGAGTAATATTTGAGTAATATTTGAAAGTGCACTGAAGATCTTGGTTAAAAATACCAACCTAGGACCTTGGTACAGTGAACTTGTAAGTCTCAGGCAGATCCTCTGTTCACAATTTAATTAACCATTCACTTGAGAAGTACATATACATGGGGCAATACTGCTCTTCCCTCTTGTTGCATTTTTACAGGCATAAGTGAGAACATATCAGGTACCTTAAAATAGGCTTTATATTATCTATATGAGGGAATTTTGAGCCTCAGAAGTCATGAAGCTCTGTAGACTTGGGTGATTTTTCCTGTCCATTCATTCATTCCTCAGCTGCAGACAGCCTCACACACCTTACACCCAATTTCAATTTCTGGGGTGTCTCACTCCTGCTGTACCCTGTGGAAGGAACCTGAGTGCCCAACCAGGGATTTTTCCATGGGGAGGCAAATTGGCTTTGCGCTTGCTTTATAGTTATTTGCAGAGAGGGGGATATTTTGAAAAGCTGTATTCCTTTCTACAACAGAGTGATCTTTGGAATGCCTGTAGGATCCTCAGTCAAGCATCTGGATATTAACAAATAATTCCTTTCTGTTTACTTGTTTTGGAAAAGTAGGCTATTCACCTGTCTCTCCCAGTAAGAAATTGATTACATGTCCCTTCCCTCCTTCACTTACAGTTCATGTTTTCAGTTCCTGTGATGGTATATCTTGAATTTTCAATGCTTTTTGGACCTGTCTATATGTCTTCATTTTTTCCTCACTAGACCTTCAGAAACCTAACAAAGCTCCTTTTGAGCAATGGTAGCCAATAAAGCTAAAGATTGAATCAGATGGGCAATACAATCCCTGGAAAAGATAAATCCACCAAACTGGTGGGAGCTTCTCGATTTGATCAATATGGTTAAAGATATGTGCAGGTTTACAGCTTTGTACAATCGGTGCAGCTAGACCAACAGTTTCTATTGCGGAAAAAGTATTAAGAGAATTTATTAAATCTAGAATTTCATTTAAAAATTTCCTTTCAGAAAAATATTTCACAACATAGAATCAAAAAAAAAAAATTGAAGGTTCATACAAAACTCTTTTTGGTGGGGAGGAATGCATTTAAATTTCGATGGAAATACGGTCAAAGTGTTTCAAAAATACTTCAGTTCTTGGGTATAAATTAGATCATAGTTACAAGTGAACCTCAAAATGAAAAATAATTTTGAAACAAATAGCAATGTTATATTCCAATAAATGTAGAGAAAGCTGTTAGCCTATTGAAATGTTTTGTTTCAAATTAGAAAACACCTTTCAAGCAAATTTAATCAAAATTGATACTTTCCTTTAACAAGTTCAATTTTGTCAAAATCCTGTTTCCTGACAGCTGCAGTTATGACTTATATTTAGAAGCTTCCAAAACATTTTAATTTTGAGGTTATTATACAGATACTTCCAGTGCTAAAAGAGAATATTGTAAACACTGAAGGCTTAGAATAGCCTTTTCAATGCAGGATCAAAAGCTTTAAAATGTTGCACATGGATATGGCTGGGGAATTATTTCAAGAGACAAAAAACATTTGGAGAATGTTTGGAAAACATTGCTTTCCATAAATCTATACAAAGAATTGAAGTCTCAAGCTTTTGCTAAGGAAAAATATCATATCACATCCTCCTGATTATTCAATTGTGATGTATTTTGTCTGTTTACTCACACCTAGCATATGAGACATGAACTCTGGGACAGAGGTGAGCAGATTTCAGTAAGGGAGGCTGGTGCCTGCTGAACAGCCTTTATTTACATCAGAAGAGCCGCCAAAAAAGGAAAACGTAAAAGATAGGGAGCAAAAGCAATCCTGATAGAAATAAATAAATTAGGAGTTATTTATCTCTCTCTTTCATTTTACTTTATTTTTTAATGTAGAAGACACTTAACCTATTTTTAAAAGCATTTTCATGCCACCCTTCCTTGGAGTAGTAGAACACATAGTACCCACCATTGCTAAGGCAGAGTTCATTTCACTGAAGGTATCTAGAAGCTAATTATCTCCTGAGAACTTGAGATAGTTTTAAGGTTATGCAAAAGATGTTAACTAATCACACAGCTCCCAGATATTTGAAACATGCAGTGTGACTCTGAGGTTGCATTTAAATGAGAGACAGGCATGACTACTGATGTGTTGTTTGTTAGTGCTGCACAGCAAGCAAAATGCTACATTACACAGTGCCAAATTCACAATACTTCATCGGTTATGCTTCAGAGATAACAGAAAGCATACAACACTTAATCAGTGTTCAGTGTTCCACAGGCTATATTAAATAATGATAATAATAATAAACTGAGAAGTACTCCAGGAAAAAATAGAGTACAAAATTAATTACAAATTGCAAATATGGTGCAATGCAAATTAATGCAAACAAGAAAAGCAAAATGTTCATTTTTTTACCAAACACTGCCCCAGTTTGGAGAACTCAGGCTTCCTGATAAATTAAATTCACAAGTCCAGCCTTATATTACCTGTATTGGTCAAGAATTATGCAAATTTGAGGATCTTCAGATATGAAGCATAGAACTCAGAACATATTCTCAATTTAGAAGGGTTACTTTTTAATATATACTGAAACCAAAACTGCTGCAGACAAGTATCAGATATTCTGCATATTTTCAGAAGTGGTTAGACAAAGAAAATAGAAGTTATTGAATCTGAAAACAATAGTGTTGTCTTCTTTGGAAACAATGCTATTGAGTGGTTTTTTTCCCCCCTTTGAATAGCTGTAAATGAAATCAGCTAGTTATTTTATAACAAAACCTCATTTTTAGAAGTTGTAATTTAATGCAATCAATCAATACCAAACACAAAACTATATGCAATATATATGTTGTGTTTATTTTATATATATTTACATTTATATCTATAAAATATATAAAGACAAAAGCAAATAATTAGAAAATAATATTATACCGCTCCTGCAGGGGTTAATATTTATGCCTTGTCATTCATAATTTGAACAAAATTACAACAGATAAGAATGATGGATAGCTGTTATCACTAAACATCTGACATGTGAATTATTTAATTAATTGTTCCCATTTTATGCTACAACACTAAGCATATTGAAGTAGGCCCATACATATTTCAATAGGTGCATGCTTTAAATTTAGGGCTATGCCTTCATCAGACTAAATTAGAGACTAGATAATTAATATTTAACTTCTATTAAAGCATCTTAAAATGTATGGTCCTAACCACTGCCTTTCATTTAAGACAGCCACATGAATATCTATTTGTAAATTTCCTCTTTCAAGCAAATGAAACACAAATACAACTTCAGAGGGCACATAAATGGCAAAAATCAAAAGAATTTAGGGTTTAGCAACCCAGAGAATATATGTTGCAGAATTTATATCCTTCTGATAAGAGAGTTGAGGGGAAAAAGACAGAACCCCAGATGAACTAGAAAAAAAAAATCTACAGTGGTTTATATACATGGCACATCTAAAAACTGATGTGGATTTAAGCTTAGTGGAAAGAAAGAGGGGGTGGGGGGGAAGCAAAAAACATTCCTTGAAGCTGTGGTATTTGCCATAGAAATTGAATCTTGCTTTGAAGCTAGAAGCAGCTGTTATTGAGAAATATGGAAATAATTTACCATAAGAGGCAAAGATAGAAAAAAGATTCTAATCAGGTTCATAATATTATTGAATTATTATTTTAAAAGTCAGAAAAACAAAATAAATGAGCAAAACTTCAAGCTATTGGAGATAAATGCTGAAAAAAAACATTAGAAGATCACTTAGTTAACTAGAAGGCCAGAGTGCAGAGTCTCAGGTGTTCAATGAAACCTGCCTTCCAGCTCAGAGGGAGTCTCATTTAAAGTAGAGAAAAGAAAGTCACAGACATGAAGAATGAAAAAGCTGTTTACACTCAAATATAAAACTACAGATCAGAAATGCTGAAGAGTGTAAAAAGTCTGGAACCAAAACCAGAATCCCATAATTAGCTATTCCTATTTAGGAATTGTGCCTACTTAACCCAGATTTCTAATCTGTCTTTGAAAAGTGAACTGAAGAGGCTCAGGTAGCCAAAATAAAGAGGATGAGCTAATCAGTGGGTTTTATTTCATTATGGACAAGAGATGTATCCCATCCCAGATTTTAATTTCCAATGCCTTAGATACCAGACTAATAAAAAAAATAATAAAAAATAAAAAATAAAAAATAAAAAATAAAAAATAAAAAATAAAAAATAAAAAAATAAAAAAAAATAGAAGAAAAGAAATATAGCCTTACTCATTGGCAATATTTTTGCCAGCACCAGTACTCAGTTGGAAAAAGTCATTTGGGGGAAAAATTAACTTTAAACCCGCCTCTCCCCAAAACAGAGATTTTCAGTATGTTATTTAAAGTCTACAGGCCAAATTGTCTATCAATTAACTCTGACTTCAGAGAATCAGCAAAAATGCAGCTGCAAACAGTAGAGCTTTGCTAGGATGAAAATGTCTTTCCAGCTATGTAGTTTTGAAAAAGCCTAGCCTTTCAAGGTCCCATTAGTGAGAAAAGGCAACAATTAACTGCATTTCTGCTACTAACCAGTCTACACTACTTTGATCCTTAAGTAACTGCTAAAACTAACTTACATAATTGAGATTTAACTACAGTTAAATAATTACATGAATAGGACCTATATATGCATACAATAGATTTTTACAGATTTTTATTCTAATGACTTTATAATCCAGTTTCTTTTACATATGAGCAGCCTTTAAATTCAAGAGACATGATACTAAAATACTAAACAAACCAAAACAGCAATACTTGCTTAATATTTCTAAGTAACCCTGTAATTTTTGCTCTGATACAACTTTTTCCTGACTATTTTCAGAAATTTAATCTAGGTCATCACGTCATGACTGAGTCTTCCTGTATCATACATAATTTGCCTGAAATTATGTTGGTTTATGATGTCTTCAGTTCCAGATTATATCCTTTTTTGTGTTCCTTTTGATATTTCATCTCAGCTCTCTCTATATATTAAAATTACAGCCGATGCAATATGAATTTGAATGCCATACTAAAGTGAGTATAAAAGATGTAGTAAAACAGAGATCAAAAATGTATGTGCAAGAGATGAGACTGGAAAGGTTCAGTGGGACAGTTCCGTGTGTGAAAGATGCTCAGAATTTTGGATGATTATCTAAATGTTATTCTGAAAACATTTAGATCTCATTTTCAGAAAGAGCTGAAGCTCAGCAAGACCCTTAATTGTATTATCACTTCCAAATTCCCTCAAAAAATTTAGAGCTGTGTTAAAATGAAACTGTGGGTGACTATAAACTGTGGGTTCAAATATGTAATTTTCATTTGGGACATCTACAGAAATTTAATTAGATGATCACACTAGTGATTACTCAAAGACTTAACTGGTATCTTATGAAGTAAAGCTCATGTCCACTAAGAAAATCTGTTAACGTGTTATTGGGAGAAGAAGCTTAAAATGGCAAAAACCAGAACAACTGACTGACAAAGGGTATCCACATTTGTTAGATTCCTGAAAAGAATGGCAGAGACTAATAAGGAACATCAAGAAAAAAATATGACAAGGTTGAGTGACATTCCACATTTGGGTGACTAAAGAACAAAGCTGTAAGGAAAACAAAGTGATTGCCTGGAGTGCAAAGATCCTGTCAACACAAAAACAAGTTAAACAAACAATTTTATTATTTTAATTCATATTGAAGACTGTGTCATTGTGATGCAACTAAACTCTTTAAAATCTTATCAATCAATCTCCGTAGCACTTTGTGGAAGAGCAAGAAGCAGAAAATAGAAACTTGACAGCCCAATGTACCTTTGCCCTGATGTTAACTTGTCAACACTTATAACCCCAAAAGGAGAAATCAGACAATAGACAATATATAAATTATTCTTAACAGCAGTGACAGCTGCTGTCCTTTTCCTCTCAATTCAAGCAAAACTCACTGGCTTAGTTTCATTATTTGTTATTGCTATTATTATTATTATTATTGTTGTTGTTGTTGTTGTTGTTGTTGTTGTTGTTACTATTGTTGCTATTGTTGCTATTGTTATTGTTACCACTACTATAACTACCTTTTCCCATCTTAATATTTTAGAGATGGATTGTAAATCCAAAACAAAAACAACTGCTGTTTTGAATCTTTCATTCCACCACCAGCAGGTAAACAAAAATCTTCTCATTTGGAAAAACGACTGGGAATGGAAGAAAAATCCCACTCTGATGGGTCCCAGAGCTTTCCAGAACTGTGATTACAGCTGCATAGAAATTATGTCCAGTGGACTGAAATTACACCCAAAGCCTTCTGGACTATGGAAACTTCAGAACCTCAAAAACAAAGATAAACCACTCTACTATTCAAGGCAGGAGCAATGATGCTTACAGCTCTGCTTCAGAAGTGATGTCCTTCCCAGGCACTGCTCGTTGGAAAAGACATGAAACAAATTCAACTGTTCTTTGTTGCCTTTTCAGACCTCATGAGACACTGAACAAAAAATGTAAAAAGTTCCCTTATTTTGATGAAACCAAATCTTTCTGTAACCCTTGTTGAATTCTGCTGTGTTGAGAAGTCAGGAGTTAACCAGAAAACCCCACAAACACTGCTTGGCCCGCTAGAGAATGAATGAAGGATGGAGCTGAGTCTTACTGTCCCACAGGTCTTCCAGCTTTGTTCGATTAGTAGGCTGAAGCCTGAAAAGCAAGAAAGTTGATCAATTCCCAAAAGAGACTAGAGCGTTTCAAATCTTCCAGGACCTTACAAGTCCTCTGGGAGCTCAGTAAAACCTGAAACACTTGAAACATTTGCTTAACTTCTCTCCCTGAAAGACTGTAGTTACGGATGTGAAGTTTTGGGGCACTTCAGACTGCCTTGTGGGTTTGTTTTCATTTTGGTGAGTTGCTTCTGTGAGCAGAAGATTTGGTCAGTGTTATATGTAAAGTTGGTCAGTGGTATATGTAAAGGGGTCTTTTTTTGAACCTCAGAAAAAAACATTATGAATTAGACTATTACAGTTTTGTAGATGAGAAGAGGTAAAGCAATTGAAAGCCAGGGAATCTAGGCACATTAAAGAGCAGTATCACTTGGAAGGAGGACCAGCATTTTACAATGCCTAAACAATTTGTTGAGGAGGCTGGAAAATACTGTGAAAAGAGACAAATTTGGAAGGATAATTATGGAGGATCAAGATGAAATACTAGCTGTCAGGAAGCAGAAAGTATTTTAAACTAGTGCTAGCAGATGCCTCAAGTATTACTCTGCACAGACAAAAGGAAAATGTGTGTGGAGATAACCCCAACTTATGAGACTATGAAAGGGATAGAGTGATAGAGAATATAAAATACACTGATTATTGATGCAGTTCTTTTCTTCTCTCTTTGCAGAAGACAGAAATCAAAGTTGTATGAGTATTTGCAGGTAAAAGGTTATGTAATTATCCAAACACACCTGAATTCCTGGTCTAGGAAATGCACTGAATGTCTAATCTAGGAATTGTCATCTGGTTTTCAGTAGGAGGACAATGTATTTCCTTAGTGGTAGTTAGTTTCTTAGTGACCGTTTCCCCTTCTGCGCCCTGTACCTTTCAATTAAATCCCAGGCGGTGTTAAGTAAACGGAGGTAAAATGAAACAGCAGCCATTCACTGGCTAGAAATAGCATGCTTGCCTTTATCTGCACACACTGAATGGGCAAAAATATATGATAAAGGCTCTTGCATCCACATAGGCATCATATTGTTCTCATAGCATGGGACAAACAGAAGGCAGCATAACCTATACCACAGCAGAGATGGGCCAAACCAGGTGGGTCTGAGGTCACACACAGCAGACAGCTTTGCTGTCTGGAACTGCCACTATTTCAGTCTCCTACTCCAACTCACCATTTTCTGTAATGCACATGTGATGCTTCTGTCTCTTTCATTCTTTCGGAGGTAAGAGGTTATCTGAAAGAATATTTGGGGGAAAACAGCAAACATGAACATCTGCATTCCAGATGGCCACAATATTCTGAAGGGAAATATTGGTGAATTCCTTTTATTGCTTACTTTCAAACAGTAGGAAGCAGTCCAGTAGGAAATATTTGACAGAAAAATGAAGAAAACAAATACACAAAAATTCTTGATATAGGATCAGGCAAATGAAAAGATGCAAATGCATGTGATTCATTTTCCAAGGCAAAACACTTCTGTATGATATCTGGTATAATTAAGACTGTGAAAACTTGAAGACCTTTCACATACTTTATATACTTTACACACTTTCAGCTAATCAGAACAGTTTCTTTATTGGCTATTTTATGTGAGTGCTGAGTAGCAGTCCATTTTTGTAGCTTTTTTACCCTACAGCAACTACTGAAGTCTTCATTTACACTGCACAAATTATCTTTAGCAGCAGGTAGGAAGCAATCAGCAAGGTGTAGCTGGCAACAGGTCTATTTTCATTACAAGATGGAGAGAGCCAGGGGACATGACATTTGTCCAACATAGTCAGGGAGTTCTCTATTAGGAAAATCAGCTCTGGAGAATTGTAGTCTTGCTAAGGAGAAATTGAAAGGGAGAATGTGGGAAAGAGTGTGGTTGTTTTCTTTGGTTTTTTTCTTACTTTTTCTCATTAAGGTAAGAAAAAGACAGAAGTAAGAAATAATTCAAATCCTTTAAAAATGTCCTACAGTGCCATAAAATGCATATAATTTTCCTGCTCTTGAGTACACTGAGCATTTCAGAGTACATCTGTGAAATGATTTCACAGTGACTCATTAGTGGAACTGTTAGCAACAAATTTGGAGGAGGAGAGCATAAGGATTTTGGAGATAAAAGAGAGTCACAGCTAATGCCGTTATAGCACACTGGATAAAATTTTCAAACAATGGTAGAATAATACAGAGGTGGGAGGGAAATGGGCAGCATCATAATGGCTTAAGTTTACATACCTAATTGAGATGGCCAGATTTAAAAACTGACTGTCCCAGAGTGTCCCTTGAAGGTGATTTCAGTCCCCCGAAGTTCTTAATTGTCTTTTGAAGGTGACTATTTTATCTTGAACTTCAGTGGCAGGAATTTTCCTCATGATATGTTATTATTTCTGGTTTCAGTTCTCCTTTGAGTAACGTCTTTGTTGCCTCCCTTCAGTAAGCAGGAACGTTTTATGCTTTTAAGTATTTACTGGATGTTTTACAAGGAAATATTTTTTCTTGAACTGTAAATACAAAGAACTCCTCTAAGCAAATGAATGCCCAGCAGGCTGTATTTTCTTTCCTTTTTAAATAATACATTGGCTTGCTACTGGCCTTGGAACTGAACTTCCTCCTTTACCATAACATAGGAATAAATGTATCTAGTTAAGTTCCAGGGTAATATTTTTTTCATATATAGTCAAGGAAAACTCCTAATATAGTGAAACTCAGAATTGAATAAAGGTTGCAGACTTTAGCTAAAATTATGAAATATAGATGTATCTTGATAGATTCTTATGTAAGTATAGCTTAAATGTAATCTTAAGAACAGTAATATTTGCATTTGCTTACCTGAACAAAATCCTTAGAATACAGATGAAATTATGTCTCTGTCAGAGATGGTGAAATGAAATATCACACTGCCTGCTCCAGAAACCTGTAACACAGCAGGACATTGAACCCTTCTCTTCTGAGTCCTGGGTTAGCGCTTCAACCACAGGAGAAACCCACCTCCATCTTCAGGGGATTATACCTGTAAATGAAAACAAAAAGGAAAACATACTAATCCTCATCTCTTCACTCATCTTTCACCTCTCAGAACCTGAGGAAAAAGACACTGTCAAGCTTTCTCATGGAAATTGTCCCTTGTGATTTTTTGGTGGGATTTAGAATCCCAGGTCTTTCCCAAGTACCTCACAGTTAACTCAGGCATATGAAGTAAATGAACATTGCATGGGCAAGTTAAGTTGTAGCAAAATAATTTTTCTAAGGATTTTAATCTAATTTTAAAGTATAAAGGTGAGGAAATGTAATGGCTAGATCTTCAACAAATACATAAAATATACATTTGAGACACAGTATGCCTACATTCTCTATATAGTAAGATACTTTGGAGCATGTTGTAAAGCTGGGTAGGGGCAGAGGGAAGAAAACAGAGAGTAGAGCCAATGCCTATCTTATCCTTATGGAAAATTTTCAAGTTGCCCTGAAGTGCTGGCCTGAAATGATGATTCACTCCTGATTTTAGAAAAATATTCTCAGATCAACATTTTTTGTTGTTTGATATTGGATAGCACACCTTGTAAAGGGTGAATACTCTTTCAAATGCCCTCTAATACCAGCTGCCCATTGCAAAAATTCATGCTCTTCAGAGCTAGACAATTAAAAGTCACAAAATGAAACAGGCCTCAGACTCACTGCCTCCATGTGAATTCTGAACAACTGAAAGAACTCAAGTTCTAGTTTTACTCTTTTTTAGTTGCTCATTTATCCATATATTTTCCTTAAATTTTCCTGCATCACAATTAATCTCACTGTCTAAGGCTTTGCATGGTATTCTTAAGAGCAACCCAGTATCACCTCATTTAGCAAAGAAGATTAAATAAGGAAGGTGCACTACTAACCCTTGATTCTTAGTCTGCTCATATCTCCTGACTGCACTTTCTCTTTATGGCTCTATAGAGATATTTCATCAGCACAAAATTGTTACAGAATAAAGCTCCTTGCTATAAGTGTACACCCAAGCATTTCTTCACGTTCCCATAAAAACAGTTGGTATTTCACAGGCTAAATTTGTCAAATCTAGAAATTTCAATCAAAATCCATGACAATAAAGGTATTAAGCATGAAATTAGGTGGCTTTCAAAATTGCTAGTCATAGACAAAGACTATGATAGGAAACTTCAGCAGTTTCATCCACTGAAGAGTGTTTGCTCTGATCTGGAATCTCCAACCCAACCTCAAATACTTGTTAATATAGGGTGTGTGTTTTCTTCTGTGCTGTCTTTTTCACACAAAACGAGGACCATGTAAGAACAAAACAAGTGACATATAAGAAACAGTATAAAGAAAAAAAACATATTTAGTTGAACACTGAACTTTCCAGTTAATCATTTTCTTGTAGCACTGTATTAACTCTATGAAATAATTGCAGAAAACATAGCTACAGCTAAACATCTTAACTTGAATTTCTATTTAACTTCCAGGAGAAAAGAATTTTGTTTTCACTCCTTGTCAACTGACTCAGGTTAAAAGCTTCTTTATATACTTGAGTTGGTGCAGGAAATTCAACTGTTTGCTTTCATATTTGTTGTGAGGTACATCTCTGCTGCACTGCAATATGCCCTTTGTTGTGCCAGTTTAAATATCATCCATACATGAAAGGCAGTGAAATTCTATCAGCAAGGTTTTTTTCTGAAAGCAAGCAGTGTTGGAACAAAATCAAAGCAGCAAACAAACCCATCCTGCTCCTCTCCAGATTTCTAAAACTTTCTCAAGTTGTGGGATATGGGAGAGAGATGCAATTAAAACAATTCTCTAAGTGCTTTATTTGCCACCTGCCATTCATTGAATACCTGCTGATAAAAGTGAGTTTTTTTACTTGCAGATTTGTCCTGATAGACTGGTACTATGAAAGTTCACGAGTGCTCCAGGAGCCACATGAGGATAAATATAGATTCAATCAAATCAAATGAAGTTTGGCAATAAAGATGTAAAAAGTGAATTACTTTCAGCTTGCCCCAAGTTGTTTAACAGGACCAGGACTGTTTATGAAGTCAGTTTTGTTTAAAAAATATATAAAACCTTGTACTGTTCAATTCTGTTACTCTGTTAGCTACACAATTCCCAAGCTGTTACAATTTTCAAAAGGTATTTTATCCAAAACTTATCATATGTTCAGAGGTGCTTATGCAATGTTATATTAATTAAACCTTTTACCTGTCACTTTTTATGCTATAATATGTTTGTAACATAACTGTACATTAACTATTCCTATCCTTACACCAACATACTCAATAGTCAATTTCAGTGAAGGTGTGGGTCTGTATTACTGTTTTATGTTAAATATTCCCTGCACTTCTGAGGTGAATGTCCCAGCTGTTCCTCTTTACATTGCTGTGAGATCTGCTTGTGAAGAATCAGTAAAGGCAATAGTGAGGTGATATGAATGTGCAAATCCAAGACTGCTGTGAATGCAAGATTTGAACACTGACTCCAACTCTAATTGTTAGTACCAGTAATTAAATTTTTCATCAATATTTTCTTTCTTTTTACATATATCTTTTTCCTCCTTGCTGTTTGCCTCTTAATCTAACTGTAGAGAAAAAAAAATTATTTACTCAAAATGTGATTATTTGTCTTTTAATTAGAAAATTTTTATAACTAATTCTCACACTGTTTATAAAATGCACCTCATCCTACTGATTAAAGCTGTTGGAAGAGCTGTTATCTGCAGCATCTCTCTATGTCATAAATCCATATGATCAAATAGGGTAGACCAGAAATACTCTGCTAACGTTGAAGTTCGTGTATAACTAACAGATTCTATTCATCTGACCTTATATGTTAGATCATGGGATTTATTCAAATACATAAATACATACACATTAAAAAATGTGTAATTTTGAGAATGTAAGGTAATCATAGCTTCAAAGCTTAGTTATACCAAAAAAAAGGCAATTCAATTTCAGTAATCACTTTTCATTGCTATTAGAACTGGCTTCTTGCAGATTTGTGAGAAAAAACCTAAAACTAGAGACATTATCTGTACTACAGTAAGGATGCATGAGCAGAAGGTTTGTGTGTACAGTTATGAAACCAGTGTCCTCTTGGACACAGACCTCCATTGTCTTTTGTGGATATTAAACATAGGTATCATGTCTAGACAGTTATACTGATTCTGATTTTATTTTGAAGTTCACCTGAATAGTTTCCAATTTTAAGACAACAAAGACCTGAGGCTGAAAACAGTGACAACAGGTTGTCCATTGACAAGCTGAGATAGTTGGTAAAAAAGGCCAAGTGAAGTTTATAAAGGGACTTATTTTATATTAGTGTCCTTATGAGCCAATTTACTCAGAATACGTCAGCATATACAACACCAATAAAAATAGAGTATATTAGCCAAGTGAAGTTTATAAAGGGACTTATTTTATATTAGTGTCCTTATGAACCAATTTACTCAGAATACGATGTCAGCATATACAGCACCAATAAAAATAGAGTTTTATTTCAGTAAATCAGGGAGGTGTGGCATTTTCTTTTCAGCAAGTCATTCGCAAGACAAGGTCACTATAAAATCATTCTTTGAACAGACAGGTGGGAGAGAAATGACCCTTTAAGGATTTTAACTGGCCATCTAAAGGGTCATCTAAAAGGACCCTGTAAGGATTTTAACTTGCATGTGGTAAAGACAAAGTTAGGTTCACAAGTACAATCATTTTGAGTGAAACTGAAAAGTAGTAACTTTTCTTGTTAAATGCTTCAGGCCTATGATTGGCCCAGTTTCATAATCTTCCATAATGGATGTTAAACAAAAGCTAAAATAAAGACAGAATTATTGTTAGTCTACTAATATGTTCCTAATGTCTTTTACATGGACCATGCCAAGGATATAAAATTTTAAAAAAGAAAATTTAAAAAAAAGCAAAATAATTAATACTAAAAGTTTCTTTTAAACTAAAAAAAACCCCCATCAAACCTATGTAAAAAGTTGGTGTTTTTTCCCCTCTAATGAAATGAGCTCTTTACATATAAATTATATTGTAATAACAGAGCTCCCTGGTGGAAAAGAGTTCCTTCTCCTGCTGGCAAAAATTAAGATAATCACAGATGGCTAATGATCAAAAATACTGACTGACAGCTCTGAAGTACAAGGCATAGATAATATTCTCAGAGCTGCAGTTTATTTATACTCAGAACTGGCTTTAGGCTCCCACAAAATGTGCATTTTTGATGTCCTATTATAAAGGGGATCTTTTAGTCACCAATTCCTGTTGCCAAGGTTTTTCCTTAAGACTAAACTGATCATCATGATTTTTTCACCAAAATACTTATGTTTCAGCATACCAGTTATTTGAAACAATCTGTAACTAGCTGAGTTTTCTTAAACAAGTAGATTATTATTTTTAGCAACATTATAATTAAAATGTATATTTTGAGTTCTTAGAAAAACTCTGTTATATACTTTATGTACTGGGTTTATATACTGCAGAAGTCAGTGAGGGCAATACTCTGTTATATACTTTATATACTGGGTTTATATACTGCAGAAGTCAGTGAGGGCAAAGAAATGGTACTGAAATTCATTCATTTCTTGTATTTGAATAATGGTGTAAAAAGTGTCTGGTTTCTTTGGTGGTGTTCAAAAACCTATAAGGAGTTTGGTCTTGCTCCCACTTATGTTAAATGAAATGTTTGCCGGATTCAGCCAGGAGGTGGCTGACCTTACAGGTAATTCTAGTTTTCTCAAATGTTTCTTAGTTTTCACTTTACGGCTCCTTTAAAAACTTTGCTAAATATTTTGTGGAGTAGAAACCTATCTTTAATTTCAAAACACTGACTGTGTTTTAGGTTTGTGATTGCTATAACCTTTCAATACACATCCAACATGCAACATCAAATGTTTTCTAATAGAATGTCTCCCTATTGAAATAGAATTTCTAGCTCCTGTAATGTAGATGAAAACCTGGAAAGATATTCCTCTTTAAAAGGTTTGCTAATAAGAATGCCAGTTTTAAGTACCCCCAAAAT